GGGGGACAATGGGGAAATGGTCTTCACAATTCGATCGAACACACTGCGCGAATGCTCGTGTAAACGCGCGCCATCTATCGTAGGATAAATGTACTTCGCGGGAGTGTATTAAAAAATTAAAAAAACTTTCCAAAGCTTCATGGCAATCGTACTATGCCACAAACCTTCGCTGGAGTATGTTAAACAACTTCCCAAAGTTTCACGGCAATCGGATAAACGGTGTGGTAATGCATGAAGGACACACACACAGACATACATTCATTTTTATATATATAGACTACAGTTTCCATTGTTTATTTATAATTTGAGAATATTTTGCGAGTTTTGAGAAATTTTTTAATTTTGAGTCCAAAAAACTGAAAAGTTCAGAAATCTGCTTCCAAAAAATTGTTCCTTTACTATAGTCTAATGGATTCTAATGAAGACACTAAACAAGAAATGTCACAATTTTTAATACCAAATTAGATGAACTATCAGTCGAAGTTTAGAAAATAAGTTTTTATAAATTATTTTATTAGCAATAAGTGCACTTTTGAGATCTCATTTATATTATAAATGTTTTTGGTAAAATAAATCAATACCTCAATTTTCTGGCAAAATATTTTTAAAAAATAAATGCACCAACATTTTTGGTGCCATTCTCGGACAATCTTTGAATAGAATGTCATATTTAGAATGAAAAACGACTGAATGTTTAGACTAAGGGTTCTTTTTTAGTTCTAAATAGAAACTTCTATTCAGATTGTCCAAGGATGGGCACTGAAAATGTCCAAAAATGTTAGTGTGCATTTTATTAAAAAGAATTTTGCTAAATGATTAAAGGTGTTGATATATTTTGAAGCAAAATCCAGTTTGACACTCACTTAATTTTTGATAAATATTACATTCCATTCTTCACTAGAACTATATAACTATCTATTACATTTACAGTGGAACCCCGGTTAATGAACGTCCTGGTTAACGACCAAATCGGTTAACGAACTTTTATTTTGCAAAAATTTTGTCTCTGATAACGAACAAAATTCGGATAACGAACGTAACGATATTTTGTGTCAAATTTTAGTTGGTGTTAGGCATGCGCGAGTTAAGCATTGCTTTTCCGAGTGTTTGTACTATACTTCTTTTTTCAGTTTTGTGATTTATATATTTAATCAATATGGCATCAAAGAAAGAAAAAAGTCATAGTGGCAATAGAAAAAGACAATGCGCTATCGGATTTGAGAAAGATTTTGCTTAAAAGAGTAAGACAATCAACTTTAGATCAATTTCTTGTTCCTTACNAAGCATAACTTTCAATTAGCAAAGTTTATTCTGTATGGGATGGTTGATGTAATGCAACTAGATGCTATAGTTCAGGGGTGGGCAAGCAAGAGTTCAGTGGGAGCCGAAATGTAGGTTTTGCAAAATGCATGGGAGCCACAGTTCTGTACTTTTTTATTCTGTACCACAGTTCTGTACTGCAATTTTATTATATAATATAAATATAATATAAAACAAATATTGAATTTTTTTAATTAATAAACATATTTTCACAAAATTGTGGAAATAAAATTGTAAAAATAATAATAAAAAGCAGAAATTAACACTTTCAGCAAGAGCCGCATGTAACTCAAAAAGAGCCACATATGGCACTCGGAGCCGCATTTGCCCATGTCTGATATATAACAATAATTTTTTTAATTGAAAAAATAAATTTAATTGCAAAGATAAAACATAAAAGGAAAAACCATTCCATTAATAAATCAATGAAGGAAGCAAGACTAAAAATAATTTGATCACTCAACTTTTTATGAATCTTTTTGCTGAATTCATAAAATATGATGTTGAGTGCATATGAGATACAGTACATACACAGTATTTTTGAAAGGAAATGTGTGATAGGAGATTGTTAGAAGTTTGTAGGCAAAGCATCAGAAGCAAGTGCATAGTATATTAGTTATCCAATTAATTTATGTAATAATATAACCAATGTGTCAAATCTCCAATGAATTAAATGATCAGTCCTTCTATAATACAATTTTATGGTTAACACACAATTCAGTTAACGAACGGAGTCGCGGAACAAATTAAGTTCGTTAACCAGGTTCCACTGTACTATTATTTATCAATTTTCATTGATAATATTTAATTAATGACATATTAATAATACTCTGATAAAAACAATTATAATTCAGCAAAAATATTGTAACATTAATAAAAATAGTAAATAGCCAAGATGATATTACATTTAAAATTTACAAGAAAATTCTGAAAAAATAAATAAATAAATAAAAATTCACATAAAGTTAACAGAAGTAAACACAGATTTCTTCATCCTACATCCTTTTCACACTTTTAAACAGTACATGTTTTACATATTGAGGTGGATAATATATTAAGAGCCTACAAAAAAGTTTGACTCCACTGTAAGACTGTTCCTGAGGTGTGAAAAGGATGAGGAACAATGACAAAGTCCTGTGTTTCCTTCTGTTAACTTCATGTAAAAAAATATTTTAAAGAATTTTCTCATAAATTTTTAAAATATTGTAGTAGGACAGGGTTGTGGAGCAATGTAGTGCTTTTACCTTGTGACGAGGACGAGAATCCATCACAAAATGTGTATTTTAATTTATGACTAGCATATTACAAACAATTTACAAAAATTTATATTATCCTCCAGTATATTTCTTCAATAGTAAAAAAGTTTGAAATACAACTCTAAATTGATAGCTCACTTTTAACTATTCTGCTTCACAAAAATATACTACTGTTAATAAGGCTACTACTTTTTGCTACTTATTGTCATTTTTATCTAAAGGAAAAATCTAGCTTGATCNATCATCAATTTGCTAACAACTCAACAGATTCTATTGAATCGCAGTCTATTAAAGTTTTAGAATTCCTTCTATATTAAGCAATTCTTTATAACTCCTAATTGTAATCTTTCCTTATGAAGAATGTAAATTGATGGTAACAATTTTTCTAATTAAAAAATTTACTTTTTCATGTTTTTCAAAAGTTTCATTTGATTGCGTAGAGTAATTTATTCCAATGTATCTTTGCTTGATAATTATTAGAATAAATAAAGCATGAAGATAAACATATTGAATTTAAAAACTAGAATCAGATTTTAAGGAACGACAATGAACCAATTGTTATTTTATAACAAACGACAATAATATAAAAGCATTTTCAGTTATTGTTCTCAATAAATCAATTATATGAAGACGAAACTATGTAAATTATGAATAATTAAATAGTTTAAATAATAACTTATATGAATAATATTTTCTTATTGTTATGTAACACGACTGCCGTTTTGTGGAATGACAATATTTGGGAAATGTGACAGTGAATATTTGACGGCAAAAATAAATGAGGCACGGCGTGAACATTTAATGATGTTTCAGTTCTGATCCAATCCGATAACTTAGCATTTTGTTCCAGTCGATTTTAGCATGAGTGACCGGCAGCTGTCGACGGAGGGCTTTGAAAGTGGCGTCCGACATGGTCTGGTAATTTTCAGAAACGGATATCTGAATTTCAAAACGAAATGAACACATATTTAGCATTTGTCACTTTTGTTTCAAAAGATGAAACAATTAAGTGAATATTTAAATTACATGCTAAACCCAAGCAATTAAGACATTAAATATTTCCATTACTCATAATTACCTGATATTCATTTTCTGCATCTTTTACAAATTGTACAAATTCTTTGGCCATTTGTATTTCGATGGAATTTATGCCCACGAGTGACCCAGTGGATAAAACCACTGAGCACTCGACCAATGGGCTGGGCGCGTGGACTTTTTAGGGGTTTTCTTCACGTGTCTAGGTGTTCTAGGGTCAGTTTACTAAAGAAAGCCGTCCCGAAGACTCTCTCCATTTCACAGCTCCCATACGTTACTTNTCACTTTTGTTTCAAAAGATGAAACAATTAAGTGAATATTTAAATTACATGCTAAACCCAAGCAATTAAGACATTAAATATTTCCATTACTCATAATTACCTGATATTCATTTTCTGCATCTTTTACAAATTGTACAAATTCTTTGGCCATTTGTATTTCATTCTGTTAAAGTAAAAAAATTGACACATTAATTTTCATTTGGAATTTATTTAGCCCAAAAAAAAAAAAAAAAAATTGTATTTAATATTTAATAAATATTGTTATCTATTGTTAATATTAAACAATTTCTATTATAAAATTTTATAGACTTTTTCTATTGACTTTTAATTTAATACTGATATATTGTTGATTAAATTGTATGTAAAGCTATGTTCACATTCATATGCAAATTGCTATGAAGTAATTTTTTTATTTGCGGTTTTAGGCCCTTTACCGCTCAGAAAGCACAAAAAGGCCATAGAATGTTATATTGACAAGGGCGTCTGTGTTGGTTAGTAAAAGATGTCCCAAGATGGGCTCATAAATGTCCCATATAGGGCTCATAAGAAGTATCTACTTCCCTTGTGAGGGTTCATAATTTTGTGTGTATATGTTATGTTTCAAATTTTTTTCTGCATGTTGTGTTTTTGTTTGCTATTTTAACTTACTATTCTTCTTTGATAAATAAGAGGAAAATAGATTGATAGAAAAGTTGCAGTTTGCATTGCTTAACTAACCAGACCTAACCAATAATTCTGGGTTACTCAAATACCACTGAAGAAAAGAAAGCAGCAGTAAGCAATCCAATGACAACAATTTCCAGCAAATTTAGAGTAAGAATTTTGATGGGAAAATTACTACATCCCATAGGGATAGATAAACAGCAGCTTTTTGGGAGGACTCTAGAGGGGAGCTGGTCTAATTCAAGAGATAAGGTAGAGGAAACCCAGAAAACTCCACCTGGCCAGCTAGAGAAAATCAAAATAGTTGAGATATCCAACTTAATAATGTTTAATAAAATAGTGCAACAATCAACCAAGAGGTTGCTGGAAATTATTACCACATATAATGGTAGACAAAATGATTAGAACTGAGTCTAGAAGACCAATGCATTCATCTCACAGTCTCCAACAGACGTGTAGTTCTGTGTAGTGGATGATGATCTTGACCTGAAATTTAAATTTGTAATTAGTACCTAGCATAGGGCTGTAAGAAGCCCTTCATAGCTAGGTAAAGAGGAAGAGACACAAAACAAATAAGAACAGAAAATAGCAGCAGTGGATAGGTGCAGTGGCTCACTAATGCCATGTCAAGAGAGGCACTCATAGATGGATAAAGGCCATGGGAAGCAAGAAGGAAAAGCCTGTTGCCAACTGCAGACAGCAACCCTGGAGCAGAACTGCTGCTGCTGATCGACTGAGGGATACCCGTACCGGGATCAAAGCCACTATATGAAAAACGAAAGGACCATGCACGGTGGCCGAGGAGGTCCACCCGACCAGAGTGACAGCCCAGAAGAACAGGACAGGCGAGTCCAGTGCATGAACCTCCACACCTAATGCCTGTCTAGAAAGAAGGAGAAATACCTGGTTGTCTGCTTACATAAGTAGAAGGGGCAGAAGGCAACAGAGAGAAGGTGCCTTATTGACAGGGAAATTTAGGAAGGCTAGCTTGATAAATGAAGTTCTATTTATGAAGAAGGGAAGTGATACAATACCATAGTTCTTAAAAGTTGAAAGTAAGTGAGAAGGTAAAGGGTGAGCCCATCATCCACCAAGTGGCATAGGTAAGTACAAGAGGTGCCCAGATTGGGAAAGGAAAAAATAGACCCGAGTTACAGTGAAGTGAGAAGTATAGATGGCAAGTGAACACTCACTGAAGTGGCTGTGGGAGTACCAAGCTTGCCAAGAACAGAAAGAAGATTGCCGCGTCCTGCACCGGGAACCAGTAGCGGCAAACACATGATGCATTAGCTTATAGCTAGGCATCAGAAATAGACAAAGCCTCTCCATGATGGAGAGACAAGCAAAGATAGTAAAGTAAAGGAGAACAAGTATAGTAAGGGCTATGAAGTAGATATGAACTGTTAGTTTGTCCCCTTTCTGCAACTGTTCAACCAATTAACTTTTTCCATAAAACTGGTGACTCTAAATGAAACCTTTTCAAATATCAGACGAATGGCAAGATCCCTTTATCGGATTATTAAGGCTAAATAATTACTAAGTAATCTGACAGGAGCCAAATGCCAGACTGCTTAGTAATTATTTAGCCTTATTTGCCCAATAAAGGAATCTGGCTATTTGTTTGATATGTCAACCTTTTCACCAATTATGCATGTTCTAATGCAGTCTGTCTCATAATATGAGATAATCTTGCTTTGGTTAGTGTTTGTTTCATTATAGTGATTTGTAAGACAGTGAACCTAGCATTTTATGGCATATGTGTCACTGTTCCATTATGTACTTTACACTTCTCCATTTAATTTTCATTCTAAATATTACACTATACATAGTATATTTATTAATTTTATCTATTAATATTAATAAACACAGGTAGCCCTCGGTTTACGCTGCAGTTCCGTTCCTACAAAAGCCGGCGCAAATCGAATTGGCGTAAAACGAACCCATATTTACACTGAGGTATAGGGTTAGGTTCTACATAAGTGAAAAATAAGCTAATAATTTTGTTTATTAATACAATATAATACAAAATACATATAAATGTTTAAGTTTTAAAATGTATTTTATCATAAAATAAAGTAAAATGTTTTTATTTAAAAATTTTAGTTTCGAATTTCTTACATTTTTCGGAAAAAAGTATCCATCTTTAATTGTTTACATTTTTTATTTCTTTCATTAAGAATTTTGGAATATAGTCGAATATGATGCTCCTTTTTACATTTGCACTTCGCTCCCGACATTGTCTAACTCACAAACTTCATCTGTCAAACTTTCTTTCCTTAGTTGAAAGGATGCGTTAACCTGACGTAGAGCTACAGACGAGCGAAGACACTGATTGGACGACCACCGGTCGCCGTAGCGCATATATAAGGTCAGTTTTTATCGGGAAAATTCAATGTGGCTAAGGAGAGATAAATATCGTCTGGCCAACGAGAAGTAGATTTGTCTCACTAACGATAATTTGTGATCGCCGGAAGTGCTATTGTGTCGTAAGGTGTTTTCCTGAATGAACTGATACGGGATACATTCATTGGCGCTATGGATTCGGACGCCATTTATTGGACTATTAAGTTTAATATCTTGACTCGTGGGTACCTAA